AGTTTTCCTACATAGGTATGGTTTTTCATATTAAATATTATCTTTCTAACATTTAGAGCTATAAACGTTGTTTAGAGAGAATTTGTTCTTTTTATGCTTTCTTGCCTACAAATTCCCAGTTTTAATGACATTCCATTTTGCTTAATGTCTGATTACATTGGCCAATACCCCAACAACTAGCCCAGAAAACATCGTAAGTCACTCTGAGATGGATGATCCCTTTTACTGCCTGCTTCACAGTTCTTCTTAGGTGCTGTTGAGTTAGTTCTGACTAATAGGAGTCCTGGTGTGGCACTGCAGGTTAATACACTGGGCTGCAAGGTCAGTTTGAACCACAAAGTTGATAGTTCAAGCTCACCAGCCCCTCCTCGGAAACCCTATAATGGTCGCTATGAGTCTGAACCAACTTGACGCCACTTACCAACAACAACTTGTATAGTACAACAGAATGAAACACTGCCCTATCCTGTACCATCCTCATGATAGTTGCTGCCACTGTGTCAGTCTAGCTCATTGGGGGTCTTCCTCTTTTTCACTACTTTCTACTTGGCCAACCATCATGTCCTCCAGGGACTGATCTTTCCTGCTAACATGACCAAAGTACATAAGACAAAGTTTCACAATCCGCTTTTTTAAGGGGCAATCTGGTTGTACGTAATTACTCCAGTACAGATTTGTATATTGTTGTATATTCAGTATACTTTGCCAACACTATAAATTCAGAGGAATCAATTATTTGATCTTCCATATTCCTTTTGCTTTTGCATGCATATCAGGTATTTGAAAATACCATGGCTTCTGGCAGGTGTATCTTAGCCCTCAAAGTGGTATCTTTGCTTTTTAACACTTTAAATAAAGAGTTCTTTTGCAGCAGCTTTGACAATTTCCATATTTCTTCATTTATCATGATGTTGCCTCCTGTTGTGAGGATTTTTCTGTTTTGTTTTCTTTGTGTTCAGGTATAATCCATACTGAAGACGGTGGTGCTTCAAGTCCTCTTGCTCTAGTAAGCATGATTGTGTCATCTACATATTGCACATTGTTAATGAGTCTTTCTCAGTTAGCAGTAATGTTTATCAGTGTTTTTCTGCTACCAATGACTAGTTTTAATTGATGACAATTTCATTAAGTAAAATTAATTTTAAAATATTGATAATATGATTTAAATTGGGCATTTTCAATTTGACACAGATTATTTTGTGGATTAAAATATAAATGACATACTTTTAGGTTTATTTTGCTTCTTCATAAGTAAATTGGGTTTTGTTTAGGTTTTAGCAACAAGTCTTGTGGCTATGTTATTGTTGTTCATTAAGTGCCTGCCATCAACTCTGGCTATGCGGTGTAACTCTTAAATTGTGCCTCATAATGGAATTTTTGGAAAAGGAGCAGAGTATAGTTACATCTGACATAGTGAGACCTCAGCGCATTCAAGTACATTTAGCCAGTAAAAGGCAAGCACAACAAACATATTAAAAAAAACAAAAAACCTTACAGTTAGAAAGGCAGGAAAGATTATTTTCTCTTTCAATGAGAAAAGATTAAGCCTTTCCTTTGGTCTTGATTAACTAGTAGGTAAATTAATTTAGCTTAAACTATTTTTTGCCCTAAGGAAGTCTGTTCTTTGGCCTTTTCAAATGGTTACATTCAGAGGCCAAGCTTCAGGCCACTTCTTTCAAAGCGGTATGTTTCAAGTTCTATAAAGGTAAGAATTTTGGCATCAGATTTGAGTGGTATGACACATGCTGAATTTCACTTCCCTACTGGGGGGAACACTGGTCATTTACCAGAAAATATACTTCCAGCATAAAAGAGCTTGCTCAAATTTAGAGAAAATTTGAGCCAGATAAATAAAAGCCTAGCAAAATAGGACATAAAAACCTAGCAAAATAGGAAGCCTTAAAAGGAATTCCCAAATCAGTTTTAATTAGTGTTTGGTTTTTTTTCTTGTGTAAGTATTAGGTTAAAAAAAGAGCAGAAGAAAATAGAAAGATTATAATGATATCTAAAAAGATTAGATTACAACAAGGTAATCCAGGAAAGTAGAAAATACTATGAGGATGGTGGTGGTGTACCACCAAGTTGGGTTTCCCTTATAGGGTTTCCAAGGCTATAAATGTTTACATGAGCAGAAAGCCTCATCATTCTCCCAAGGAGCAATTAGACCCGATCTGCTGACCTTGTGGTTAGCAGTCCAGCTCATGATCCACTATGCTACCAGGGTTGCTACTAGGGTTCCAGTTTAAACATGGTTTATTCCAGACTCACTGGATAGCTACAGGCAAGCTCTCTCAGTAATTACTTGTCTTAATCTCATTAGGGGAGCCTGGTATGGTGTGGTAGGCTAAGCACTGGACTGCTGACTACAGTGTTGTCAGTAGAAACCTACCAGCTGCTCCTTAGAAATCTTATTTATGATCTCTATGACATGGAATCAACTTCATGGCACTTTACAACTGTCTCTTTTGGCTGCCTTCCCTAAAAAATGTCCAATCAAAATAGTGCCTTCCAAGGGGATCTGTTGGACCATTCAGTTTAGGGCAGAGATGTCAGCTCAGAAGGTTATGGTGATTGTCTTTTGGGAACCCCAAAGGGGAATTTTCTCAAAGGACACAGGACAATCTCAGGGTTTATTACAAAAATGTTTTAAGAACATGAAAAACTGTGTTGGTGAGAAGTCGGCCAGGAGAGTGTGCCAAGGAATTTTTTTCCATCACAACAATGCACCTGCTCATTCTTCAAGGGTTGTAAGGACTGTCTAACTAGAATTTTTGTTGGGAAACCTTACCTCATCTGCCCTGCAGCCCTGCAGTGATCCTGTCCCTTCTAACTTCTTTTTGTTCTTAAAGAACATTTTAAAGGAGCACGATTCCCATCCTTTGAAGGTGCCAAAACTGCCATTTTGATGTGTAAATTGAAGAATGCAGAATTCTTTGGGGGAAGGATTACTGTTAAGTACCATTGAATTGATTCTGACTCATAGAGACCCTGTGCACAACAGAACAAAACAGTGCCTGGTCCTATGCCATCCTCACAGTTGATGTTAAACTTGAACTCATTGCTGTTGCCATTGTGCCAATCCATCTCATTTGGGGGGCTTCCTCTTTTTGCTGGCCCTCCACTTTACCTAGCATGATATCCTTCTACAGAGACTGATCCCTCCTTACAATATGTCTGAAGTATGAGAGACAAAGTTTCCCATCATAACTTCCAGGGAGCATTCTGGTTGTAATCTAACACAAATTCATTTGTTCTTCTAGCAATCCATGGTACTTTTAATATTCTTCTCCAACACCATAACCATATGCATCAGTTCTTGTATGATCTTCCTTATTAACTGTCCAACTTGCACGTGCGTATGAGGCTATTGAAAATACCATGACTTCGGTTAGGTGCATTTTAGTTCTCAAAATGACATCTTTGCTCTTGAACACTTTACAGAGGTCTTATGCAACAGATTTGCCTAATGTAATACGTCATTTGATTTCTCGACTGCTACTTTCATGAGTGTTGTTGGTGCATCCAAACAAAATGAGGTTTATGACAACTTCAATCTTTTCATCATTTAGCATATTCATTGCTACAGTGGTGAGGATTTTTGTTTTCTTTACATTGAAGTGCAACCCATACCGAAGGCTGTGGTCTTTGATCTTGGCATCAGTACGTATCTTAAGTCTTTTTCATTTTCAACAAACAAGGTTGTATCATCTGCATATCACAGGTTTAATTAAGTCTTCCTCCAATCCTGATGCCTCTTCAAATAATCCAAGAGTTAGGGAGATATAAATACTTCCTTCAGAAGTGTATACACTTAGTTGGAGACTATTTTGAGAAGCAGTAGCTTCATATTTTGATATTTTTGTTTAATAAGATTTCTGTGATCTTACAGTAAGGAGCTCTAGTAGCATAGTGGTTAGGAATTGGGCTGCAAACCTTAAGGTCAGCAGTTCGAAACTACCAGCCGTTATGCAGGAGACAGATGAGGCTTTCTGCTGCTGTAAAGATTTACAGCCTTGGAAACCCTGTACAGGGTCGCTGTGAGTGTGTGGTAAAATGCTTAATAGTACTGCTGTTGCTACTGCTGTGTGAAGTTGAGTCATGTCCAGCTCATAGCGATCCTGCATAAGATTTCTAAAGAGCGGCTCGTGGGTTTCAACCACCAACTGTGATGAACAGTCCAGAACTTGTCCTGCATCACCACACCAGGGGCCAAAAAGGGATGCCATAGACTGCCTTAACTAAAGGTGAAAGAGAAAAAAAAAAAAAAGGCATACATGTTTTTCACCAAAGAGTCAATTCTGCCTGAATTGATTTATAAATTTATCATGCTAACAACTAACAGCTCTCCCTCCTTCCCCAAGGAAAAACAGATAAGAAAATTCTAATCATTTTGGAAATATTATCTATTAATAAGAGATGAATGATTCTTTTCCCTCCCCCACTAGCCCATCAATGTGTAGATGTATATCGATGTTAAAATTAATTGATGTGCATTTCTGAGGAACCTTATTCTTATAAATAAGTTGGTAGGATGGAGAGAGTATTTATAGCACTATAAAGCAATTCTTTGAAACTCCTAAGTTATATGTTGTTCTTGTTTTTAAATGCCCTCAAGTTGATTCCTACTCATAGTAACCCTGTATAGGTTTCTAAGGAGTTGCTGGTGAGCTTGAACTGCCAACCTTGCAGTTTAAACCATCTTTCTGTCCAGCACATTACAGCGCATTAACCCGCAGCACCAAGTAATGTAGTGAGTTTATTCAAAATTATTTTTAACAGTCTCAGCTTACAACTTGATTAAGCTTCTTTAATTTTATTAGCATTGAAATGAAAACTCCAATTGGCAAAAGTTATTTCTGTTATTCGTTATAGTACTAGTAGATGCTACCAGTATTCCAAATTGTCCAAAAGTATATAAAAGTTTTCCATCATAGCCCTTTAGATTTCTTATTTAAAAATACATACTATATCACAGTTTCTTGTGTTTTTTTTCCCCACAGTTGCATTAAAATCTCCCCAAGTTGACAGAAATGGAGGCCAGAATAACTGTAGAGCACAACTGAGAGACTTAAGTTTGCAAGAAGGAGAGTTCTTATTGCAGGTAAATTTTAGTAAATGCAGTTTGTATAATAAAAATATCTGATGTTTTCTATATTCCTGAGTGTTTAGATTTCCATATTCCATGATTTTACACTTGCCATCATTGCATCTAACTTTATACTTACAACATGTAATCATCACCATTTACAATTGGAATATAAATACATTTCAAGATGTGTAGTAGACTACATAGCTTATACTTTTGATAAGAAAGTTTTTCCTTTGTTTTTTACCAAGGAGCATCATGAAATATTACCTGGAGATAATTTTTAAACTGAAAACCAAAAATACACCCTGAAGTCATCTTAGAACCAGACAGTAATTACCTTAACTAGTAAAAATGTATGTTTGAGCACTAACCTCTTTTAAGAACTATCTATATGGTACCAAATTGACAACAGCAACTCGAAAGATTAATAGGAAACTTATGGTGCAGTGAGTTTATGTTCCTAGAAGTAAGATGCACAGCAAGGATCTTAAAGGGAAAAGAATTATAGTGGTAAGGAGACAGTCACTGGATTCCATTACCTCATCTGAAAATGCAGTACCCACTACCCTTTTGAGAGCAACATAAGCACAGGGACAATGTCTTATAAACTTGAATCCCAGTACTTAGTGTAGGTCTTACTTGAAGTGATTAAGTGTTCAGTAAATCACTATCACGTTTATAGGCTGTTTATAGTTCTTAGAGCATATTCATATAAATCTTACTTGCTTATTGTCACAGGCTTATAACAGTAACATCTTACGTTAACTGAGTGCCAGCTATGTGCCAGACACTAAATTAGATGAGATATGTTTATCTATATAATCACCTGATAAAATACCTGTTTTTCAATGCTGTTACACTAAAATTTGAAAAGGGAGTAAATAACTAAAGCCACTCAGAGCATAAGAGACAGAGATAGGAGTCTATCCCAAAACCATATGACTACAAACTTTGGTTCTTGTATTAAACCAACTTGTATCTCCATTTATATAAAAAAAATTAATTCGGAAGGGATTTGCTATAGCAAAGAATAGTATGTTGTTGTTATATGCCTATCGAGTCGGTTCCGACCCACTGTGACACTGTATAGGGTTTCCGAGGAGTAGCTAATGAGCTTGAACTGCCAACTTTGCATTTCAAATCGACTTTGCAGTCCAGCACATTAACCCATAGTGCCAGGACTCCAGAGAATAATACACCAAGTACCAAATTGAACTTAAGTAGGCAATAATGACATCTCAAATATGTAATTATTGGATTGATGCATGATGACAGTAAACCGTAAAATAACCTAAGATATTTTTGTTAGCCAGTAGGAGAATAGATACTAATTAACATTGAACTTGGATAGCCACAAAAGGAATAGAAAGAGTTAGAAGATTAGTGATATAACTAAATGGCAGTATTGTTCTTAAATATTTGTCAGATAAAGCTAATATTTTTGTCTATGAAAAACCTCTCTGAAATGGCTCAAATGTTTGCAGATCACTACAATTCATTATCATTAAATTCTGGGAATGAGAAGAATTTATTTGTATCTCTTGATTCGGATAAGGAAAAGCTGACAGTTAAATTTAATGCTCAGTCACAACTTTAGTGAAGAATATTGGTTTCCTCTCTTCCTGCTTTAAATATACTGTACATATTTTTTAGAGAACCATAAACTACATAGACACCATTTACTCTATATGACACATTGCTCAATAGAAGAATTGTGATTTTATATAGCTGGTTGTCCTTAGAAAGAGAAATATAGGTAGGCAAATATTATTAATGCTAAGGAATTTCAAGTACAAATGCAATTTGAATTTGAATACTCTCAAAAATAAAAAAAATTTTAAAACTTTTTATTGAAAAACATAAAAGACGTGTTTGTACTTAGCAAAAAACACAAATATAATTTAATTCAAAAATAAAAATGATAAAACAAATAATATACAGCATTTCGTCCATTTGACTTTACTGTATTACCAGTATGTTTGCATTCAAATCTATCATTTTAGTTTGTGTTTTTCTTCTGTACTATGATTCTTTTTCTCTCTTTTGCTTGCTTTTGACCAATTATTTTTTATCATTTAATTTTCTTTCCTTCTTTTTTCCCTTGTAGGCTCTAAATGGATTTGTATTGGTTGTTACTGTAGATGCTTTGATCTTCTATGCTTCATCTACTATCCAAGATTACCTGGGGTTTCAGCAGGTAAACAGATGTGTTTTACATGGTTAGAAACCAAAGATTTTAGAAAATTAACTTTAAGTACGTGTTTTATAATTTAGGGACACAGTTCAAATTTTGTTTATAAAATGTTATCAATTAAAATATATATGCTATAGGAGAATATTTTCTACAGAAAGAGAAGACATTTTTTCTAATATTTAGTAATTTATTACATTGAAATTCCTTTAAATGTTTATGTGAGTCATGAATATTGTGCTGTTTCACTTTTTAAATATCTGTATATAAGCCCTGGTAGCACTGGAGAATAAACACTGGTTAATGCGCTCGACTGCAAGGTCGATTTGAGCTGTAAGGTCAGTTGTTCAAGCTCACCAGCTGCTTCTCAGAAACCCTATAGAGGGTATCTATGAGTCAGAACCGACTTGCTGGCACTTAACAACAACAACAACCTGGAAAAACAGTGATTGATGCAGAAAACATAAAAAGAAGTTGGAAGGAATTCTGAGAGTCATTGTACCAAAAAGAAATGATCAGTGTTCAACCATTTGAAGAGGTAGCATATGATCAAGAGCCAATGGTACTGAAGGAAGAAGTCCAAGGTATACTGAAGGCATGGACAAAGAAAAGGCACCAGGAATTGATAGAGTACTAATTGAAATCTCTCAACAAACTGATGAAGGACTGGAGGCGCTCACTCATGTATGCGAAGAAATTTGGAGACTATTATCTGGTCAGCTGATTGGAAGAGATCCATGTTTGTGCCCATTCCAAATAGAGATGACCCAGTAGAATGTGGAAATCATAGGATACTATCATTAATATTGCATGCAAGTAAAATTTTGCTAAAGAGAATTCAAAAACAGCTGCAACAGTACATTGACAGGAAACTGCCAGTGTTCAAGCCAGATTCAGATAAGGATGTGGAATGACGGATATTATTGCTGACATCAGATGAATGTTGGCTGGAAGCAGAGAATACCAGGAAGATGTTTACCTGTGCTTTGTTTCAGTGCGTGGATCTTGACAGCTATGGACAAAATTATGAAGAATGAGTATTCCATAATGCTTAATTGTGCTCATGAGAAGCCAGTACCTAGACCAAGAGGCAGTACTTCAAACAGAGCAAGGGGACACTGAATGGTTTAAAATTAGGAAAGGTGTGCACCAGGGTTGCATTCTTTCCCAATACTTATTCAGTCTGTACACTGAGCATATAATCTGAGAAGCTGGATTATATGAGGAAGAATGTGGCATTAAGATTGGAGGAAGACTCATTAACAACCTGTGATATGCAGATGTTACAACCTTGCTTGCTGCAAGTGAAGAGGACTTAAGTACTTAATGAAGATCAAGACCACAGCATTTGGTATGGGTTACACGTCAACGTAAAGAAAACAAAAATCCTCACTATCGGAACAATAAATAACATGAAGATAAATGGAGAAAAGATTGAAGTTGTGAAAGATTTTATTTTGCTTGGATCCACCACCAGCACTCATGGAAGCAGTCAAGAAATCAGATGGCATATTGTATTAAGCATATCTGCTAGACAAGATCTCGCCAAAGTGTTCACAAGGAAAAATGTTATTTTGAACAGTAAGGTGTGTCTGACCCAAGCCGTGTGACTCAGTAACTTCGTATGCATGTGAAAGTTGGACAGTGTATCAGGAAGACCATAGAATAATAGTTTCATTTGAGCTGTGATGTTGGAGGAGAATATAAAAGTACTATGGACTGCCAGAAGAACAAATAAATCTGTGTTGAAAGAAGTATAGCCTGAATGTTCACTTAGAAGCCAGGATGGCCAGACCTTGTCTCTCAGTCTTCTGACATATTTTCAGGAAGGACTAGCCCCTGGAGAAGAACATCATGCCAGGTAAAGTTGAGGGTCAGTGCAAAAGAGCAAACCCCGCAACAAGATAGATTGACACAGTGGCAGTAATAATGGGCTCAAGCTTAGCAGTGACTGTGGGATTGGTGCAGAACTGGGCAGTGTTTCATCTGTTGTGCATAAGGTTGCTATGAGTTGATACATAACGGCACCTAACAACAACATTGAATATACCATGGACTGCCAGAAGAAGGAACAAGTCTGTTTTGGACGAAGTACAGCCTGAATGCTCCCTAGAAGTGAGGATGATGAGTCTTTGTCTCACAAGCTTTTAACATATTATCAGGAATGGCCAGTCACTGGAGAGGGACATCATGCTTGGGGAAGTAGAGGGTCAGCAAAAAAGAGGAAGACTTGTAATGAGATACACTGACGTAGTAACAGCAACAGTGAGCTCAAATCTAGCAATGATTGTGAGGATGGTACAGAACTGGGCAGTGTTTTGTTCTGGTGCACATAGGATTGTTATGAGTCAAAATGGTGCAACAATCAGGAATATATAGGATTAGTATAAGTGGGCAGTTGAGGAGGGAGCAGAAGTGTTGTTATTGTTTTTAAGTGCAATCAAGTCGGTTCCGACTCATAACAACACCATATAGGGTGTTGGAGAAAGAGCTGGTGGAAACTACCATCCTTCTGGTTAGCAATCTAGTATTTATCCTACAGCACCACACCAGGACTCCATAAAAACTTTACAACTCCACTTATTTACCATTCATCCAGTAAAAGTCAACAATCAGACTTATTTGCTTCCTGTGACAACTTCTCCTCCTGTTGTCAAAGGTGGGAGCTAGGCCTGATTGTTAAGTGTTACTGGCTGAATGGCAAATAGTGGAGTTTTAAAGTTTTAGGCATTATTTGAGGGACATGAATGGAGAACAGACTGTAAGTATATTTGAAAGCAGACTGTTCTTATATACCCAAACCAAAGCTGACTGTTATCAAGTCAATTCTGACTCATAGTGGCCCTGGCTAAAGGATAGAGTAGGGATGCTGCAGAGGTTTCCCAAGTCTGTAGGCCTTTTCAGAAGCAGATTGCCATATCTTCCTGCCATGGAGTAAAGAAAATTAGAATAGTCATTTTCCAATCTATTTTTGCCTCACATAGCATGACTGTTCTTTAAGAAAACATTCCTGTCTGGCATTGTGGGGATTTGAGTGACAAGTTAGTGTGTCATGAAGTAGATAGAGTGGATCACCATCAATGGATTTCTTTAGTTGCTCAGAACTTAATAGAGTAAAATGATATAGAATGCACAGTATCAGCACACCCAGTAAAGGTGCTTTATGTAACTTTTTTTCTGTCTGTGTGTGAGCATGCATGCACATCATGTATAAAAATATATTTCTTAGAGTTGTAATAAAGAAAAACTTTAGAAAAACAAGGGTGTAGGTTCCACAGGCTAAGCACTGTAGTAAATGCAGAGAAACAAGAACTCAGAGGGATTCTGATGTGGTAAAGGCACAACCCCTTACCCTTATGAGTCTACTTGGAGTGAAAACTTAATAAAAAGAAAACTATTAGAGAGTGGGGGTGGGGGTGGGGGTGGGAGTGGTGTGCTGTGGAGTCGGTTCTGACTCATAGCGACCCTGTATAGGGTTTCTGAGGCTGTAAATCTTTACGGGAGCAGAAAGCCTCATCTTTCTCCCACGGAACACCTAGTAGTTTTGAACTGTTGACCCTGAGGTTAGCAGCCCAGTTCACAACCAGTACACTACCAGAGTAGTGAAGACAATTCATAACAAATGCTATTAAAATTGCAGAAGTGAAAGAAGACTGGCTTTCACTAAGGGTGTCATGGAAGAGGTAGAAATAGATAAGAAACCAAAAGCCAAACCTACTGTCATCTGGTCTATTCTGACTCACAGCGGCCCCATACAGAGCTCCAAGAGTGTTAAGTCTTTACAGGAGCAGGCAACGCTTCATCTTTTCTCTTGCAGGGCAGTTGGTGGGTTAGAACTGCCTACCTTATGATTCTACTTACCCCACAGAAATAAGCAGAGTTTAAAATGCTGCATTTCAGGAATGGGGAAGTAATCTATTTGAAACATAGCTTTCCTGTTGGGAAGTGATGGCTAATAACTTTTATGAATTATAATGTAAATCTCTTTCCACCTTTTCTTATGTTAGATGACTTAGAGAGCTTTGGCAGTCACTGGATTTGCATTTATATTAATAAACATCTGCTAATCTCAGCAAGTTTTGAGATTATTTCCTTTCATGTTTTATTTAGTCTGATGTCATACATCAGAGTGTGTATGAACTTATTCATACTGAAGACCGAGCTGAATTTCAGCGTCAGCTGCACTGGGCATTAAACCCTTCACAGTGTGCAGAGTCTGGACAAAGAATTGATGGTAAGAATGTTTATGAAAACACAGTCTTGTTGATTTTTTACTATAATTCTGTCAAGGGAGGCAGTGAACCTTTGCTGTTATTTTTGTTGTTACTCACCTTTGAACTGTTTTCAGTCTAATAGCAACCCCATGTGTTCCTAGGAGAAGTGCTCCTTAGGGTTCTCAAGGCTGTGACATTTCAGAAGCAGATCACCAAGTCTGTCTTTTGAGGCACCTTTGAAGAAATTCAAACCACCAAACTCCCAGCTAGTGGCTAAGTGCTTAAATGTTTGCATCAATCCATTCTTCATTACTATAAAGTTGATTCCAACTCCTAGTGCCCCAATAGGGTAGTAGAACTGTCCCAAAATTGTAATCTTTACAGTAGCAGACTGTTATATTTTTCCTCCATGATGTGGCTGGTGAACTCAAACTGCCAACATGCTTGGTTTAGCATCTGAGGACTTAACAACTGTGCCATCAGGGCTCCCTGGGGACTCTGTTAGAGGCATAAAACTTCCTGGAGAAGTTTGGGAAAGAATGTAAAGACATGAGTCGAGTTCTGTGCGTAAGCCACGTCCCAAGATACAGATGAACTGAGGAATGTCTTAGTAAATGTGAGCTATTAATGAGATTCAAGTAGAGCACTCACTGGTGTACAGACTATAAAGGTTCGTAACTGTGTCCTATGTGGAATTTGTACATGAGGTGAACAAGTGCCTACAAATGTTACTTAGCCGCAAGTGCAAGAAAAGGCTCAGAGCCTTTTCAAGTTATTTTCAAAGCTCCACGTGTAGCAAGTGAAGGTAATTGTGATCAAGAATTTATTACAAGTAAGGGATTTGTTTAAGCCTTTCAGACTGAGAGCACATTTGCATAAGGACAAGGAAGTGTTGTCAGTAAGTTGATAGTCCTAGCACAGGCATGGCCTGTAAGATGGTCATAACTCTACCTTCATGAAAGCTGCCATGTATAAGGTTGATGCTGGAATGTCTATTAATTGCTCTTATTTAAAATGCACCAAATAAAAGGGTAAAATAACATGTGCAAGCATAAAAAAAACTTTTTCTCAATTTAAGCAGTGTTTCCAGAAGTCTACTAAAATGTTTAAAAGAAGAGATACTAGAAAATAAGGAAATAGTTAATAGAAGTTAATGCAATAAAAACAGGTAAGGTTGTATATAGTAGAAGTGACGTTCGATAACTTTCCATTTTCTTTTTATTAACTATTCTGAAAAAGATTTTTTTGTATTCATAATATGGACTCTAGTTTAGAAATTAACACCAATTTCAGATATTCAAACACTAAACAGTTTTACAGTGAAATGAAAGTAAATTTGTGTTCTTACTATTTCTGCAGAAGCTAATGTCCTTCCACAGCCAATAGTCTATTACAATCCAGACCAGCTTCCTCCAGAAAACTCTTCCTTTATGAAGAGATGTTTCATATGCCGACTAAGATGTCTACTGGATAATTCATCTGGGTTTCTGGTAAGGTGCAAAATCTTACATTTTTAGCATTACATATAAAACAAAAGAGAAAGTGAATTCTTTGATTCTAACTTTCTTTGCTTATATTTGAGTTTATTTTTAAAAAAATTTTCTCAAAGACTTCAGATTTTGATTTTCCTTTAGGATATAGTGAGAGTGATTGAGTGAAAAACTGTGTCATCTTGGATTTTACATACTATCAAGACTTTCTATGTAATTCAAATAACTATCTAGCCCTTCTATACTAACAGGATGCATTCTGCTAGGCAGGAAAACTATGGTAGTCTTGTCTCTTTGTCTGGATTAACTGCCATGTAGGAGAATTATTAACTGCCATGTAGGAGTCCTGCTGTGGCACTGTGGGTTAATGCATCAGACTGCAAAACCATTTGAACTGCAAAGTCGGCAGTTTAAGATCATCAGCTGCTCCTCAGAAACCCTATACAGGGTTGGTGTGGGTTGGAACCGACTCAACAACACTTCACAACAACAACAAGGAGAATTATTGTAGTTGCAGAATCATCCCCTACTGTGAGGTGTTTTTCTGGTTACATGATCTGAACAGCAGGGTGGGATAACAGAGGGAACAGCCTGGAAAGGATACTCAGAGTGAAGTGGCCCATCCACTCAACTGTGTAGGATCTTAGCACATTTCACTCCACCAGGTACAGAAGAAAACACAAAGCTTGTAGGATGGGGGAGGGGTTCTTTTTGAAGATAATTTTGCTGACCCAGAGTTAGAATTGTGCTTTGAGAAAGTTTTCCTGGAATTAGTGATCAAAGACTGTATGATGGGGCTTCAAAAAGTTTGTGGGAAAATTCCATTTTTCCACAGTCAAGTCCCCTTGTATTTTGGAGACTAAATTTCTATGTGTAATAGAATCTTCTTTCTTGTGCTATTATCAAATTGACATCAGAAGGAATCCTTGGCTTGGCAATCATGTTTTTAACAGTTAAACTGATCATTAATGAATAAATTGTCTTTGTTTCCTAGAGTTATTCTTTATTTTTATTTTTACTGTTACAGAACTTTGCACTGTGTTATGTGATTTCATTATGATTCAATCTTGTGTTTAAGTAAAATTGTACTCTGGTCTGTGTATGGATGATTAGCACATATACATAATCATGTATCTTTGAAAATTGATGTTTATTTAGTGACTTTATCACTGTTCATTCATTTGGGAAAAATAGGAAGGCACTGTGCTGAATATTAATGAGAGGGCAAGTAAGAACTGAGAAAATGTTGCAAGTGTTCCTGTTATGACCATCATTAAATTAGAGCAGGGAGTGGCTCTATGTTTTAGCAGTCCTGTAGGTATTTCTCATTTTGTGTTTTGAGGCATTCTTCTATAGCTCATACTACCTCTTTCATACCGCCTCGTACTATCATAAAAGCATAACTAGAATGGGCTTCCTGTGGAGAGAGCCTGGAAAGAATGTAGCAGTTGTCAGCCTCAGAGATTTGTATTTCTGAATTATCAAGAGCCCTGAAAATGGTCTATATTAAATCTGTTTTAAAGAGGAACTGTTTTAAAGTGTTCATGTTAATTAACTTTTTGTTTTTGTAAGGCGATGAATTTCCAGGGGAAGTTAAAGTATCTTCATGGACAGAACAAGAAAGGTAAAGATGGATCAACACTTCCACCTCAGTTGGCTTTGTTTGCAGTAGCTACTCCACTTCAATCACCATCCATACTTGAAATCCGAACCAAAAATTTCATCTTTAGAACTAAACACAAACTAGACTTTACACCTACTGGTTGTGATGCCAAGTAAGTGAACCTTAATCAAGTATATGTTTTGTTATAATTAAGTCTCTTTTAGTATGCAGTGTAGGGTTATAATCCTTATTATTATTATTATTATTACATTGTTACTGTTGTTTAATGCTCTCAAGTTGATTCCGACTTATAGCAACCCTGTAGAAGGTTTCTGTGGAGCGGCTTGTGGGTTTGAACCACTGACCTTGCAGTTAGCAGTCCATTGCTTATTTTACAGCAGCATATTATTTAGTATATTTATATAGTATAACCTTTTAGAGTAAAATAATTTCTTTCGAAAGGCTCACAAATCATCTTATCATTTTGTAATTTTTTTTATATTTTCTATAATTTCCATCTCACAAAGATAGTATACATTATCTTCGTAAGGCTTAGTCTCCTGACTCCATTTATTTGTTTGTTTTATATTATTATATAAAATTAATTTTTAGCTCTAGAAGTTTAGTTATTTTTATAAAATTATGATGTAGCACCTGATATTAAGCATTCATACCATAACCATAGTTTTTCAGAAAATATGAAAACTCTGCTCAAGAGAAATATAAACATTTTGAATTTTTATGTACATAATTTTTGGCAAGTTACATTCACCTTTAACCACACTTATTTTTATGGTCTTTATTCAGAAGAACAAAATAGGCTAAAACTAATTTTCAGCCATAAGCAAGAAGTATTACAGAAATATAATTAGTTTGTTCTTCCCTACTAATTTGGAGTCCTGGTGTGGCACTGTGGCTTAATGAACTGGACTTCAAAGTTGGTTTGAGCCACAAGGTCTACGGTTCAAGCTTACCAGCCGCTCCTCAAAACCTGTATTCAGGGTCGCTGTGGGTCCGAACCAACTTGACGGCACCTAACAACAGCAACCACCTACCAATTTGAGATTCTGAATGCCAGGTAAATCATAATTGTGGAAAGTAGCATATAGCCAATGAATGTATCTGGTTACATTTTACCTTTCTTTTTTTCTTCTTTTGAAACAGAGGAAAGCTTGTTTTAGGATATACTGAAGCAGAACTATGCATGAGAGGATCTGGATATCAGTTTATTCATGCTGCTGATATGCTTTATTGTGCTGAATACCATATCCGGAGTAAGTTCTAGTTTCTTGTGAATATGGCAGTAAAAAAAAATGCTATTTATTCTTGTACATGTTTCAGATTATGACATCAGGTAATCTGTTTAAGGAAACAATTTAAATATACTTCTGTAGAGTAGAGTAAAATCTTGAACCAGAGTTGATGCTCTTTGTACATCTGCTGTTCTCCAGCTGCCACACAGATCTGAATCACTATGGAAATGTCCATTGTGGCCAGCAGAGCTTTAATAGTGTTCACAAATGTTCCAGTGGTGTTATTATTTAGTTTATTAACTTGGTTATTATTTGTTTACGCTTTGAAATTATATAATAAAATATTAAGCTATAGAAAAACATTCCTTATTTAAAATGAAAAACACTATTATCTAATTTTCTTCTCCTAAACACCTAATAGTCTTGCTAGTTCCAGATGTCTGGAATTGTCTGATTGGTACCTAATCTTTTCTTTAATCTTTTTCATGAAATTGTTTTTTAAGTTAAAATCAACTGTTTACTGTAGCATATTAAGAGATGTGTGAAAATAGTTGAATTTTTTCCATAGACTAGAATAAAATAGAATAAAATCAACTGTTTTCATGTATCTCTTTATATACTACAATAAAAAAGTTGTCAAAGTAATTCTCTTCAAGTGAAATACAGGAGACTTCAAAAAAGTTTGTGGAAAATTATATTAGAAGATAAAAATAAAAAATTGTAAACTTTATTTCTCAACCTAAGCTCCCTCAAATTAGACAAGACACTTGTCTAAGTAATGATGCCAGCCATTTAGTCCATTTTTAATGATCTGAGGGTCCTCAGAGTTTAAACATGTCACCGCAGTCTCTTTTACATTATTAACTGAAGTAAAATGGATGCCCTTTAAATTTTTTTAAGATTGTTGTTGTTGTCAGTTGCTGTCAGAGTCAGTTCTGACTCATAACAGCCCTGCTCACAATAGAACAAAACATTACTGCCCAGTCCTACAACAATCGTTAGGTTGCTGTCACTGTGTTAATCCATCTCATCGGGGTCTTTCTCTTTTTCAATGGCTCTGACTTTACCAAGCATGAGGTCCTTCTCCAGGGACTGGTCCCTACTGGCAGCATGTCCAAAGAATGAGAGATGAAGTCTCACTATTCTGGCTTCTAAGAAGCATTCTGGTTGTATTTCTTCCAAGACAGACTTGTTTATTCTTCTGGCAGTCCATGGGACTTTAAATATCCTTTGCGAAGATTAAGAAACAAAAATAAATCAAAAGCATCTCAGTCAATAAGATAGATGTGCGCCTGATGATTTCCCATGGAAACTGTTGCAGAAGTGTCTTCATTTGATGAGAGAAATGAATAGGAGCAGTGTTGTAGTGGAGAAGGACTAATGGTGAAGCTCTTCCGGGTTTTTGGTTTTTTTTTTTTTTTTTTCTAAGTCTTGGTTAACCTTCTCAAACCACTCCCCTAAGAAGCAGATGTTATCATTCTTTAGCGCTTCAGAAAGCCAACAAGCAAAATGTCTTGAATATTGTCATGACCTTTGCTTTTGACTGGCCCACTTTTGCTTTGACTGGACTACATTCACCTCTTGGTTATCACTGCTTGGAGTGTGCTTTGTTTTCAGGATTGTACTATTAAAGCCACATTTCATCCTCTGTTAACATTCTTCAAAGAAATACTTCAGGATCGTGATCCCACTTGTTTAAAACTTTCATTGATAGCTCTACTGTTGTCTGCACCCAGTCTGGGCAAACAGTTTTCATACCCATCAAGCAGAAAGCTTTCTCAGCTTTAGTTTTTCTGTCAGAATTGTGTAAGCTGAACCAATTCAGATATCTATGATGTTTGCTATTATTTCTGCTGTTAATTATCAATCCTCTTCAATTAGGGCACAAAACAAAAGTATTTCCTAGCAAATCGATGTTCATGGTCTGCCACTGCATGCTTCATCTTCAACATTGTCTCATACCTTCTTAAAACAAATTATACATTTGTGAACTGCTGGTTTCTTTGGAACATTGTCCCCATAAACTTTTCTTAAAGCATCAGTAATCTCACCATTCTTTTACCCAAGTATCATCATAACTTGATGTTTGTTCTTGCTTCAGTTTTAGCAGATTTCATGCTGAGCCAATAGGGGATGCTTTCAAACTGATACAGGATATCTGATACTTGATTTCAAACTGTTACCTTGTGCCTTAAACTAGATCCCATTCAGACATGTTATATAGTAAGTTTGTATGAGTTTGCTTTGATGCAAGATTTTTTTGAAATTTATGCATAGTTTATTCATAATACACTTTCAGTGAACTTTTTGAAGAACAATTCTATGTTTATATGTATTGAGCTTTGTTTCAAAATATCGTGTAATACGTGGGCTTTGGATGTGATAATTTAATGTTTTAAAATTTTATTTTAGTGATTAAGACTGGAGAGAGTGGCATAACGGTGTTTAGGCTTCTGACCAAAGACAATCGATGGACGTGGGTTCAGTCTAATGCACGCTTAGTTTACAAAAATGGAAGACCAGATTACATCATCGCAACTCAAAGACCTCTAACGTAAGCATAAAGACTTAAAGTGTTTTGTGGTATTATTTCTGTAGCAGTTGGACTTACAAAGTCTTTTTTAAATGAAAACTTAAAATTTATTCTAGAAAAAAAATTGAAAGGAGGACATAGGTAAAGATATTGAGAAGATTAATTTGACAGCAACTAAACGGGTTGTTGTTGTTGTTGTTAGCATCCATTGAGTTGGCCTGATTCATGTTGAACCTGTACATAACAAAATGAAATACTGCCCAGTTCTGGGTCACCCTAGTTGGGAATTAGACCATTGTGATCCATATGGCTTTCATTGGATGATTTTCAGGAGCAAAGTACTAGGCTTTTCATGTTTGTCTCTGCTGAAACCTGTGCAGCATCATGTTATTAAATAGTAACATGTTATTAAATACTTTGGAGTTCATTCCAACTCAGCGATCTTGTATGGGGCTTCTAAGGAGTAGCTGGTGGGATTGAATCTCCATCCTTGCAGTTAGCAGTCCAGTGCTTATCCTACAGTGCCATACCAGGACTGTATTTCTCCCCTACTGCACTCTATTTCATTCAGTTATCTGTATGCTACAAATATTTTTTCTATTTTTTAACTCAGTTTCTGAATTCTTTTACTTTATGAAAGTTTTATAATATTTTGAATTTACCAGTGTTTTCCTTTATAGCTTCTGAGTTTTATGTTTTCTTTAGAAATGACTCTTCTCCTGAGAGTCTTACATTCTTATGCTTTATTTTTGTACATTTAGACTTTTACTTCACCAGGAATTTTTTTCCCCCCATGATGAGGCAGGCCTATCACCTGGGATTGGAATGATTGCTATAAAGAGTTTTGGGACAGATTTTGAATCATTTCTTTTCGGTTTTTGTCTTTTAAATAAAAGCAGTCTATAGCACCAGTCACCAGGATGTTGTTGAAATTGATGAATTCCATTAAGTCTGTTCTTATTCATAGCAACCCTGTATAGGGTTTCCAAGGAGCAGCTGGTAGATTTGAACGACCAACCTTTTGCTTAGCAGTCCAGTGCTTCTCCTACAGCACCACACCAGGACTCCAGTCATCAGGATATTTGGGCCAAAATAAAATAAAGCCCATGCTTTCTAAAGTCAAACTCAGTAACTCTATTATTTTGCTTGCTCTTTTTGTTTTTTTCTGCATGTAAAATATTTTTGAAGGTTTATGATAAAATAACTCTTCCTAATAGAAAAATTTTCTTGTGCACAATTTTAGAGAAGAAGAAGGAACAGAGCATTTACGAAAACGCAATATGAAGTTGCCTTTTATGTTTGCCACTGGAGAAGCTGTGTTGTATGAGTTAAGTAACCCCTTTCCTCCCATGATGGATCCCTTGCCAATAAGGACCAAAAGTAGCACCAGTGCAAAAGACTGTGCTACTAAGTCGGCTCCTGGTAAGGATTCTCTCAATCCCAGTTCCATCCTGGGTATGTTGATGCAGCAAGATGAGTCTATTTATCTCTGTCCAGCTTCAAATACTGTGTCCTTTGAAAAAAACTTTTTAAACAAGCCTATGAATGAATGCAGTAATTGGCAAGATACTGTTGTACCAATGGAAAATGATAGTATCCTGAAACATCAGCCTCAGGAGATGAACCTGAAACTCTCTGGAGGTCATGAAGGGCTCTTTCCAGATAATAAAAATAATGAGTTGTACAGCATTATGAAAAACCTAGGCATTGATTTTGAAGATATCAAACACATGCAGCAGAATGAGGAATTTTTCAAAGCTGATTTCTCCAGTGAGGATGACTTCAGAAACATTGATTTAGCAGATGAAATCTTGACATATGTCCAAGATTCTTTAAATAAGTCTTCCTTCACATGCTCAGATTACCAGCAGCAACAATCCGTGGTTCCGAGCTCAAGCTGTATGGTACAGGAGCACCTACAATTAGAACAACAGCAACAGCTGCAGCACCCCCAAAAGCAAGGAGTGGAGCAACAGCAGCAACTATGTCAGAAGATGAAACATATGCAAGTTAACAGCATGTTTGCAAATTGGAACTCTAACCAGTCCGTTCCTTTTAGTTGTCCTCAGCAAGACCCTCAACAGTATAATGTCTTTCCTGACTTACATGGGGCCAATCAAGAGCTCAATCCTATGCCTTATACACAGAACTTTATTCCTTGTAATCAGTCTGTCTTTCCACAGCATTCCAGGTGTGCTCAGTTGGACTTTCCTATAGGGAATTTTGAACCATCCCTATACTCTAGTACATCTTCAAATTTTGAAGATTTTGTCCATTGTTTACAAGTTCCTGAAAACCAAGAACATGGGCTAAATCCACAGTCAAATGTAGTGACTCCTCAGACATGCTATGCTGGAGCCCTGTCAGTCTATCAGTGTCAACCTGAAACTCAGCTCACCCGACTGGACCCGAGGCAGTACAACCCAACAGACCCCGGTCCTCAGACATTTCTCAGTGAGGTAAGGATTTTACAGAACTAAATACACCCTTTCAGAGGCTCTTCTTTATAAATCAATAGGCATGAGTTGTAAATTTGTCAGTAATTTGATTTTGCATTTTTATGATCTATAGTGTTCATGTGAGAGCTTTTCTAATTGTATCTGTGACTGTTTTATTAAGCCTGTCGTTTTCCCACTACCTTATTATCAGTTTAACCTATTTACTTCAGATCTGAAAGAGAAAAAGAAATCAAGGATGAAAGTAATGAATAATGTCATTAATGGAAGCTGGCCTGAGTGATCAGATTGTCTTGTTTAAAAAAAGGAAATTCAGTTAATATGTCTTGATTTGTTACAAGCTGTAACAGACTTTTAAAACATTTGAATTTTTTTAAAAAAAATAATTGTTTCAATGCATGAATGTTGAAATTCAGTTGAAATCAGATATAGGTGTGCTTTCTTAGAATGCCTTTTCCCTAGATTATCCCCGTAGTTCAAGGAGCTCTGGTAGCATAGTGGTTACAAATCAGGCTGCTAACCTCACAGTCAGCAGTTCGAAACTACCAGCTGTTCCGCGGGAGAAAGATGAGGCTTTCTGCTCCCATAAAGATTTACAGCCTCCGAAACCCTGTACAGGGTTGCTATGAGTTGGAACCAACTCCACGGCACATAACAACAACAACATCCCTGTAGTTCAGACACAGGTTCCTCAATGTGGTCTGCATGCCTCTTTAGGTTATCTGTCAGATCTTCAGTGTGTTGCCCCTTTACTCACTTAATGCTGTTTATTCTTGAGTAACAAGATAATGAGGTTGTTGTTGTTAAGTACCATCAATCAAGTTGATTCCAACTCATAGCGACTCTCTGTAGTGTTATAGATTAACGGCTGGTGAGTTTGAACTGCTGACCTTGTGGTTAGTAGTACAGTCCTTATCCTACTGTGCCACACCAGGGCTCCAATAAGCCTGTAGACCTGTACGTTTCACTAGGGAACCCTCTAGCCACATGTGGCAATTGGGTACTTGAAATGTGCCTAGTCCAAATTGATATGTGATGTAAATATAAAATGCATATCAGATGTCAGACAGACTTAGGATTTGGTACAAAAACATTAAAACATAAATGTCTCCACTTTTTTATTGGTTACATTTTGAAATAACATTCTGGCAATATGGGTTAAATAAACATATTAGTAAAATTAATTTTATTTGATGCTTTTTATTTTTTTAAATATGGCTACTAGAAAAGTTAAAATTTAGTATACAGCTCACATATTCCTGTTGGACAACACTGTTCTAGTCAAGTGTATTTAAAGACAGTTTCTGACATGCACTCATTTTGTTACAACTGATGAGTTGTAATTCAGAACCCATCATTATCTAGACAAATAGTATTACCTTCCATCTGGAGACTCAACAAAGCTGCGGTTCTTTAAAGAGCCAGAGTATGTGATTTTTGCTACACATTCAATGTGTGAGTTGTAGGATCTTTGAAGCAATCAGCATTTTTTGATTACTGAAGCTTAATGTCACATAGAGTTTAGAAAAGTAGAATTTACTTAAAGCAGAAAGTTTATACAAATGTAAACACTAAAATATAAAGACTCATTGACCTAAAAAACTCTACAGACTTTGTATTACACTGACTCTGGCATGTGTCTTCATGTTCATCCTGCCATTGTCCCTCCCTGCCTGCCTTTTCCTTTTTATAACAGCAGCTAAAAAAATCTAATTATAATCAGTGTTTTTAAGTGCTATTTAGGATTTTCAAGGAGTGGCTACTGGATATGAACCGCTGACCTTGAGGTTAGAAGTTCAGTGCTTATCTAACAGTGCCATACCAGGACTCCGCATAAGATTTGGCTTAAGAAGGCAAAAAAGAGTATTTTCTTTAAGTAACTTGATTCTGTAATTAGTATAATATGTTAGCAGTATTTGTTAATTAAAAGCATATTGCATACAAGAAATTAAGGAAATAATACACATGGTATAATACTTTAGGAATGTTAAACACATAAAATATCAGAACTGACCAATTTTGGAAAAGTTTTAGGTTATCTGCAATTCATTTGTAGTTCATGTATTTCATCATACTCATGTTAGATCCAGCCTGTTAGGGTGCATTTTGGAAAATTGCATTCCAAACCATATCAGGACTCTAATAATCCTGAAGGTGATCAGTTAATCACTGTCCAGCAGTGGCTGAGACAAGTTCTGGTCAAAGCAAGCCTACTTAGAACAGAGACTATTAAACTGTTATTTATAACTAGCATTCCTTTTACTTGTGGGTTCCTATCCTACCAAAGACAACTCATTGAACAAATACTTTCCTAAAATTGCAATGTTGAATCTGAAATGAAACAGATGCATCACTTACCTGTATAATATTCAAGATTTCTTGTCACAGTAATGGAGAAACCAAACAGTTGTAAGTGCAACTGATACATGAAATATGCTAACGGTATCTTCATTAAATAAAGGGTTTTAAATTTAGCAATAATAAATTTGTAGTTTAATAGTATATGGGACTGAGATTTTTGAATTATATTTTAACATTATTTAATGGCTTTATGGTATTTGAAAGATCTGTTCTAATAAGTAGCATTGCTATTTTTTGTTTTCAGTTCCAGAATGGAGTTTTCAAGGAAACCTATCCATCTGAATTAAATACCATAAATAACACTCAGACTACCCCACATCTTCAGCCTCTTCATCATCCATCAGAAGCCAAGCCTTTCTCTGATTTGCCATCCAGTGGATTTATTTAATTCCAAGCCCAATTTTCACCTTGGTGTTTGGATGCTGCTTAAATTAGCTTGTGAAGGATTGCAGAGTAATAAAACTGTCCATATTGGACATCATCAAGTTGATAATAGAGGCATTGATGTACATTGTTCACACTGTTACTCCAAACCACACTTAATTTGCATCTTTCAAAGAGGATTTAAAAAAATCAAAGTACATATACTGCACATTTTCAAAATGCTGCCACACAGTAGTGAGATTCCATCCATATTTCAATTTCTTCTAAGCCCCACAAAATACACAAAACTTATTCAGAGGAATTTTAAGGTTCTTTAAAATTAGAAATTTTTATCTATTATAATTATTTCTGTGAGAATAAAAAAATATATATAACAAGTTTTGAACTTCCGGATTCTTTATTAGTTCATCCAATACAAAGATAAAATCTGATATTTTCCCTGTTTGTTAGCTTTCCGTATATCTCACATGTTCAAATCAGTGGTTTGGTATTTTTATAAAAAGAAGACTATCTCAGTGCTTTTCTTCTTCACAGTTAATCTAAGTGCCTCACAATTTTTCTACCTATAACACTGTAGGATGTATATTTTACATAAAATATACTTGTTCTTTTTCAATTAAATTAATCTTTTGTGCACAATTATTGTTTGTATTTCTTAAAACCAATCATTTTTAGTAATTCAAGCATGTTTTAACTGCACTACTTATCCACTTATTTTCAGGTAAAGGGCAAATAATGATTGAAAAGATACTTATTTATTATAGAATATAATTGCTTCCAGACATTAAATGTTTGCTATGTGCCTTATATGAAAACAATTTGAAAGATAAAAGTCCTGAAAAATTATTTAATTATTGTCCAGCCATTAAGATAGTAGCACTTAAATTTCATCAGTGTTTCCAGAAGAAAAAAAGTACCACTTTTTACCTTTATTGAACTCTCCAAATGATAGTTGGATGTTGCAATGTAAAAATTCTGTTAAATGCAACCATATTTATTACAATGAAGAGAAGCAGCTTTTGTTTCAGTTTTTTAGTTAAATTAAGCAAAACACCCAGGTCAATGTGTTTAATTGCATTTAATTACTGTTTTAGGTCTATGATCCTTTCAGATAAACCATGTTGACTTTATAAATTCACTTCTTAAAACAGTGGAAACTATTTGTTTTTCTCATATTTGAGGAGTGTTAACATTGAAGATGCCAATGTTTGATGCCAAGTATTGTTATGAGTGAAATGGATGGTGCATTGTCAGTTTGTAGTGAACAAAATTATTTGTAAAATAATTTCAGTCTTTCACTTAAAAGATAGTCCATATTTTATATATGTGCACTTAAATAATATGTTTGGTTTTATGTATTTTATCAATGTCTTTTGAAGATACCTAATAATGAATCCAAATGCTTTAAAGGTGGATTAAAAAGAAAACCATATAGCTCTTTTAACTTCAAATATTAGGTAGTTTCTGTGATATAATGGCCTTTATTATCAATAAGACAAAGAAATAGCTATACCAGCTTAAGTGGTATAAAATATCCTTGAGTGATTTAAAAGAAAAGTGCTACCATCTGCCATTCTTCTATTTAAATATGACCTCTGAGGGGCATGAACATGTTTACATGTATGACTAAAAATATTCTAATAGAATCCCAAACTGAGGTGTACTGTTAAACTTTAATTTCTTTACTTTAAATTTTTTTTTTAATAAACCATTGTACATAAAAGTGGCTTCAGACAAAATACTTATGTCGTCATTGTTCCAGTCAAAAGTACACATCTGTAAAATCCGTTTTAGTGTCACAAGAAAATTTGTCTAAAACATTTCATCATTTGTTTCCAACATGAAGTGTCACTAAAGATTTAGACCAGAGGTCTACACTAATCCTCCAACTTCACATTTAAAGCTTTCATTAAATGCCTTCATATAAACCATTCTTGTTAAGATCTTCCACATATTATTGGGTGAATTATGTTTAGTAAAAAAATAGACATTATAATTTGTGACTATGATGACAATCATATACTTAATATAAAATGAAAAATTTTTAAAGCAATATTGTATATTTTTAGCTATATAAAATAACTAAAATTTACCTAAGAGTAATAAACTCACATGAAACCAAATCTACCTTTGTCTGTATTGTAAGTGTCAAAGAAAGAAAAAAAAGCTATGTATTTTTTTTTTTTTGTATGCTGTGCACGTCTAAGGATGTTTTTGTTACCAGGTGCCATGGAGTTGGTTCTGACTCATAGTGACTCCATACAACAGAACAAAGCAGTGCTTGGTCCTACGCCTGCTTCTCAATCATGTTTCAGCCCTTTGTTGAGTAGATGTGTTCAATTAGAACTTTTTCTATTTAAGATGGTTCTTACAATGTAAGATTACCAATGCTCCAATTTATTACAGAACTTTCAGTTATTCCTTTGCAGCTTTTCTCTTCAAAGTATCACTGCTTACATAGCCCATGAATACATTTTTGTTGGCTTAAAATATTTTTAATATTATATACTTACCAAGCAGAATTGTATACAAAAGTAATGATGATTGAAAAAACATCATGTATGAAAACAGAAAGAATGTAAATTATTCTTTCTGGTCCATACGAGGGGGCTTCAATAAGTTTATGAAAAATTCTGTTATCTTTCCATTTGATTTTCCCATGTACTTTTTGAAGCCCTCATATAAAGGAAGTAATGGTTTACAGCATCATAATATAATTATGTTAAATATTTGGAGTCCTGGTGTAATGATGCAGGATAGGCACTGTACCACAAGGTTGGTTTGGACTGCAAGGTCAGCAGTTCAAATTCACCAACCTCGGAAATCCTATACAGGGTCGCTATGAGTGGAACGAAGTCAGTGGCATTAAACAACAATAAGAAGATAAAAATCGTATTTATAGAAATTTTAAGTTAGCAACTAACCCTTAAATAAGTCTGATATAATTATTTTAACCTTCACCTGAATATAAAGTATATACTTTCAATGAGTTCATAGAATAAAATGTTTCTTAAATGAGCTGTTAATTTAAATCTTGTATTACCCGTGTTAAACATATAATGACTTCTATATCTCAGATCAAGATCCCAAACCTGTTTTAATTAACCATTGTCTTACACATATTGGTAAGAAACTTTGAAAAAAACCCAGAATCTTATATTTCCCTGTGTGTAGGTCTCCATCCTCAGGTTCAGGGAGGGATTCTCATTTTATCTGGTGGCTTTTTCTTTATTAAATGACTTCTACACTGTATTTCGGAGTCCTGGTGTGGTGCTGTAGAAGAAGTACTAGACTGCTAACTATAGTTTCAGTGGTTTAAACCTACCAGGTACTCTTTGGAAACCCTATGCAGAGTCACTATGAGTCAGAACACACTCAGTAGCACTTAGCAACAACTTCCTTTCAATAAAAAATGTTGGTGTACTAAAATTTGGTTTTGTTATCACCATTTATTATACTGATTCGTTGAAGTTCACTTAAAACTCCCTAGTTTTCCATGACTGAAACTAAATTGCACCATGAATCAACATATTCTTCCCATAGCCTCCAGGATAATTAATTCCTATACAATCTCCTGTAATGTGGTTTTTTTCTTTCCTTTGGTGGCTACTGTACCTTCCTTTCTGGTAACAAGCTTAGCTCTGATCCCTGTGGTTCTTTATACAGGGTTAAGTCAAAAAACATTGCTACAAAGTCATAGAAACCTTTATTAAAAATACCAAATGTGAAGTTACTGTTTTTTGACATGTTCTCCATCTAAAACCGTAAGTTTCTAAAGGCTGTGTTTCCATGGCTGTAACCCTTCCGGGTGTGGTGCTGTGACATAAAGCACTGAACTGCAAGGTCGGTTTGAACTGCAAGCCAATAGTTGAAACTCCCCAGCCAATCCTCGGAAACCCTATGCAGAGTCACTGTGAGTGAGAACCAACTCGACAGCACTTAACAACTCTTCCTCAAGAATTCTCTGTTCTTCAATTTATACCACTACGCTACAAAAGAGCAGTTCTGGCATCCTCAGTCTCAAAGTGTGTTTCTTTTCAATGTTTGAGTGTGGGGAATAAAAAGAAGTCTGAAGGCCAGTAGGGTAGATGAAGTAAGGTTTCCCAACGAAATTCTCAGGACATCTCTTGATATCCTTGAAGAATGAGCAGGTACATTATTTTGGTGGGGGAAATTTCTTGATACGGCTTCCTGGACTTTTCCTCACCAATGTAATTTTCAATTTTCGTAAAAAATGCAGTTTTCAGCCCCTGTGATCATCCTGTGTTCTTGGAGACAGTCTATCAAGATGACTCCTTTGGAGTCCCCCAAAAGTTGTAGTAACCTGGGCTGACCTCACTGTCTTGAATTTTACTGTCCCAGTGTATCCTCTTGGAAGCTACTATTTTCATTGGACGTTGGTCTCAAGATCATACTGGTAAATTCATAAAATTTTCATTAGCTTCAATCTTGCTTACAAGGCTGAAGGAAAGATCAGTTCTTTGAACTAGATCTATGTGGCACACTTTTGGCATCCATTAAAGCCAATAGCTTACTGAAGCCAAGATATTTGCTGAAAACAGAAAATGCCAAACCATGTGAGATAGCATATCTTCTGTAGCTATAACATCAGTGATAATTCTAGTATTTTCCTACCAGTTTGTAAGCTTCAGCCACACTTTCTTTCAACAGGATCACTGTGAATAGGAACCGATTCCACGGCACATAACCACCACCAAGGAGACTGTTGTTAAGTGCTGTCGAGTCGATTCCAACTCAAAGTGACCCTGAACACGGTTTCTGCGGCTGTAAATCTTTACGGGAGCAGAAAGCCTCGTCTTTTTCCCGTGGAACAGCTGGTAGTTTCGAACTGCTGACCTTGCATTTTGTAGCCCAATTCGCTACCAGAATCCAGAAATCCATTGTATTCTGGATCAAGACACTCAGCTGTTCCAGGAGCCGCCATCTTGGGAGAGAACATCTTGATTGTATTAGGATTGATAGTATCAGGAGAGAACATCTTGA